CAGGACACTTTTTAATTTATCAGATTCCCAAGACGAAAAATTCAGAGTATAATCACAAGCCTTTAATATTCTACGGTTGACACCAACACAAGTCCCCTCTTCATATAATTAGTATTAATATTAACCACTTTAGGGGTGCAACTAACAACTGTCTACACTGTTGATTAATCTAATGATTATTATTATTTATTTTTTTCCAACAAAACAATTAACACAGTCGAAGACCCTAACTTCAACGAAAATTGTGGTCATCGCAAGTTCAAGTTGACATCTTCGAATGTTTTGTCCAACTACGTGACCAAAACCCAAAGATATTCAATTAACAATTTTAAAACAGAGAAAAGTAACAAATCCTCAAATTGTAGAAGCAGTAACCAGATTATTACTTATTAATCAAAATTGCTAGTGATTAACTTTCTGGTGATTCACTAATCTATTAATTCACAAATTATTACAGTAATAAACTACTTATCTTGCCCGGATTGGATTTATAATAAAAAAGGTGTTGTAAAATATATCTCTCGTTAGATTTTTTATCAAAAGGTAAAAATGACTCTCTCAAGGAGTCATACAGCAGGTAAAAAGGAGGTGGAAGGTGGAAATCTGAGCGCACAGATGAATAAATATGGATCTCTGGCATTTAAAATAAAAAGGGGGAAATGGGGATTCGTTAATGTAATCTTCACTTTCACTAACTCACAACATAGACTGTCAATCAAGCATTTAGAGTAGCAGAAAAGTGTCGAGAAGAGTTAAATGTCATGTTGTTCGATGTTTTGAGAGACAATGAAATTCCATCCATCTCTCTTGTAATGTGGTGGAGATCAAATCTCTGAGAATAAACAAAAGCTACCCGCATGACTTGACACCGCTGTGGTTCATTGAAAAATGTTTTCTTTTTGTGGAATGTGTGACTTGATCCTTCAGGAAAAAGCCCTCAAAGGTGAATAAACTGCTGTGTTCCTGTACAATATTAAAACATGCAGTGTGCTAATGTGTATCACGGCTGTAAAAGTGTGTCAGTGTGATGATTTGTTTTACATACTCTCTTCTCCTGGACTCTCATCTCTCTCTCCAGCAGATCCGACATGTAGCTCACCGCCAGAACCACATGGTCCACCCCGGCCTGCACGCACACAGAAAGAGAGAGAGACACAAGGTGAAAAACTATCCTCAATAAACTCAAAATGAAAAGGCAGCAGTAAAGTCTGAGGACGTGTGTTCAGGCCTTCTCTGTACCTTGACCAGTGCCTCCACCTGGTGCAGCAGGATGGGTTTGTTGCAGAAGTCCACGAGTGGTTTGGGGACGCTCAGGGTGAGCGGTCGCAGCCGGGTCCCGTACCCCCCAACCAGGATCAAAGCCTTCATTCTTCTGCCGTTAACAAACCTTACCAGGGTGACCAAAGCTCATCAATGAAGAGACAGCAAACAGCCTGAAGGGGAGAGAGGAGTGACTGATGAAGGCAAACGTTTTTGACATTGTCTACTCGACAGCTGCACAAGATCTGGCAAAAGAATGATGTACTACAGATGAAGAACCACACCCGAGATATATATATATATATTTTTTTTTTTCCCCCATGGACCGACAAAAAGGTGGATGTTTTACTGAAAGTAACACGCGAGTGAAAAGCAACTGTAGCGGCAGAAAACAGACTGGGAGTCGTCGCTAAGTAAATTCAGCGACATGCACAAGTGTTATTTGCAAGGCACAAAATATTTTAATACCAAAACAAAAACAGTGTCAGTAGGATTGTATTTTTGCTTTGCTGACAGAATCAGGGAGCAAAATGTGAGGATGAATGGATGAAAAGGAGGGGCCCATAGAAAATGCTTGGACACAGGGTCTAGATGTTTATGCGACGCCCCTGTGAGAACATAACATCAAATTTGACATGCTGGTTTCTGTGGTGGATTACCAATTCAAGTAACTTTAAATTAATTTGATTGTTCTGACTCTGAAACATATTCAACGTTTAAAGTCCCGCTAACTGCTAGTAGAAGAGCAAATGTTTACTTTAACCTGCAATACCAAAGTGTTGTGAACCGTATTCAGGTTGTAAGTTGAGGCGTCACCTCAGATCACAAGAGTTCAGTCATTCTTCAATGAAGTCTGGCTCTCATGTTAGTGCACTTGTCTTATTTAAGTTTCTTTAGAATGGCAACAAAACTGCAACATACACAGACGATAAAACGGGGGCTCAGCGGCAGCAGCTAACTTAGCCAATTTAGCATCACAGTCATACAGTGTTTTCTCTACCGTAAACTGCGGTAATTTATGAATGAACGTGGGTAGGCTGTATGTTACCAGCCCGGAGATAAATACAGATTGTGCTCATGTTTTGAACTGTGACACAAATTAACTTGCAGTGATTGTAGTTAGCTCACCCACGTTAGCTAAGCTAGCTAAGTTGCTGCTGACTTAATTCAGCAGTTAAACAAAAACCGCCTACTAACTAAATAGCATCCTCTTTCCTGTTTTCTGTCTGTGTGAAAGTGAGTAAAAGGGATGAAAACTTACAGGGATCCGTTCACGTAAAGTCTCCTGGAGATTTCTGAATCACTGAAACTCTGGTAATGACACGTAAGACTGTTTAAATCCGAATTCCTTGTTTGGTTTCCTGTCCAGCTGATCAGCGTCAAGTGAGACAACGTGACACAAACAAGATCCGGTGCAGAGTTTCAAATTAAAAAACTTTCTTTTCAGCAAGTCGTTTTAACAATGTTTTTTAATCACTCATCAATTGAGAGTCTTTTGACCTTTAGTTCTATTAACTAGTTCATCAGCCTGAACAGTATTATTGCAATTTCTTCAAAGATTACTGGACCATATCTTATTGGTTAACTTTTAACACAGAACACAATGTTAATAATGCAACACAAAACTTTTATCACTCTGCCTTAGCACTGTTTTTATTTTTATTTTTTTTACTTTGGCTTGAAGTGTCCTGGACAAAAAAGGCATTTGATCCCCACCCACCTTTCAAAAAATGCAACCCAACAAGGCAATAAATAATTACAATCACCCAGATTAAAAAAATACATGTCCTTTTAAATCTAAGATCTACCACTTATACAAAATGCCATACTCATTATAAAATAGAACAGCATTATAAAATAGGAAAAGAAGTATTATTAATTATTAATCTCCCCTAGGGGAAATTCAGGTTGACACAGCAGCAGAGGAATGTAAAATAAAAATAAAAGCCGAATCAGTAACATCCTACATAGATGTATAAATATATAGGCCTAATACATAATATAGGGTATCAAGGTGGTTTCTTTATTTTATTAAATATACAACACAATCTTGTATAAAGAAAACAAAGTTTGTAGTCCCTTCATGCTACACACAGAACTTATCTTATAAGGAGACAACTTTGAGATAAGCTCTCTGGTTTTTATATAATAGCAACAACAAGCCAAATCCTAAATTGAGATCACTAATGGTTATCTTTTCTGTCATTAGTTTATTTAACTTTCTTGTTATATCGAAACTTAATTATTTACTTCTTAAATTTGTATTTGAATGCTCCTTCTAAACTGTGACACTCAACAAAAATGTCTATGCTTTTATTTTAAAGGCCAAATCATCCAGTTTCCGGTCTGTGTGGATAAGTCTGGTGAACTTGATGTTGTGCCTCTCACAGCTGTTACTGACTCGGGGGTGTTAAATTACACCTGAGTCTTAACTGAAAAACTAAAATGTCCTTAAAGTATACAAACATAATGTGAGAAATGTTTATTATTTTTTATTTATTATTTACATGTATTATATCGTCACAACTGTCCCACCTATTCAGTAACCTTTATTTAAATTTTTCTTTACGCCCCTGACATTCGACACTATGGTATGTCCCAAACACTCCTGCTCCACCACTTCTGACCAATCAGAGAAAAACAGCGTGGCGATGGAAAGAGGATGAACCGCACTCGGGGATGACCGACGTCTACACACCGCATTTACATATGAGGAAAAAACATGACAGTCTGACAGCTTGTTCACCCACTTCCGGTTTTACATCCGCGTTAACATCTTTGTTGGTGTGATACCTCATCAATGGAGACATTCCTCTCGTCTCGGGCTGAAGGTATCAAAATCATAAACTTTGGGGTCGAAAAGAGCTTGAATTAAAATTTTTAATTAATATCTGATTTTGACTTATCACCAAACTTATAAATCGACTTAGTCAAATATTTGATTTCTCATAATTCTAAATTTAAAGATGTGACATCTTTTACTAAATATCTCTATTTGAGTGTATTTTTATTTTTGTAACATCGCTTTTTTCTTCCATGACAGGATCAGACCACCAGGATTATGAGATGAGGATATTTTGCCCTGAGAGACGCGCTTTTAAATTGACCGAAACAAACAGTCACCAGAAATCAGAGCACCTTAATTGTCCGTTACCGTATCAATGGACACGTTCTCTTATTGCCTTTTAGACATATCAGAATTAAAATCAAAGAGTCATGTGTGGACTTTAATGCTGCAGACTCTTTATTTAAAAAACTTAAAGGACCACTGAGCAACCTTATTGGGGCAAAATAACAGTAATAATAAATACCCTTATTAAAATGTTAATATTTATTTAATAACCATGCCATTGTGTAAAGAAGCCAGCAAGAGTCAGATTACCTTTGTTGATAATGAGCTCAGGCTGACAATAATTATCAACCTAGTATGATGCAGTAGTGCGACTTTCTGTTAGAGTACGTACCAAGTAAACAAGCAATGTGCAATTCATTACTTTTTCCAGTAGCAACTGCAACACTGAATGTCAGTGATTAAAATGAAATAATTATTGTACTGTGAATAATAAAATATGAACACTTCAGTCATATTGTAATTTAAGACAGTTCTCTTGTGTGAAATAATTTCTCTGCTCGTCCAGGTTTCTGTTCTCTCTCACTGCAGGAGAAGTTTCAACGCTCAGACTTCATTCAAGGGCAAAGAAATCCAAAGTCTGAGTGTATTTGCAGGAGCAACTGATGGTCCGGTTCTCCCGTGCCTTTTGTCCAGGTGGTTGGAGGTCAGAGGTCATGGGCTCCAGCGCAGGTCACAGATCAGAGCGATGTGGTCGGAGGGGTGAGCCACGCTGGGCAGAGCCTCATAGGTGGTGACCTCCTGGTGGCTGGGCAGAGGAATCACCTGCTCCACCTGCACAGACACACAGCAGCATGTTAGCTTCTTGTTTAGGATCAACTCCTCCTCCTTCATTGGGAAATTTATCCAAGAATATGCAAATATTGTTCATTTTAAAAAGTTTAACTGCTGGATAAAATATTTTTCCTACTTCCTCCTTCAGCAGAGGAAGGGTTGAAGCGTTGAGACCAACTTTAACGTTGCCTGTCATGTATCAATTAAGAATCTACTGTAGTTCCTGTTTTAGGTTTTCGCCACACAGATCTGTGAGCATGTTGATTTAGAATAAACTATCACCACCTTATAAAGATTAAAGCAAACATTAAGTTAAGTTAAACAAATAGCTGATGTTTATTTACACATCTAGCAGATACAGAGCAACAATAGCATTAAATTGAAGTCATGTTTGAGTCCATCTAGCAAATGTAAGTACAATATTTACCCTCTGGTCTGGTCTCCACTAACTTTAGCTGAAACTAGCTAATATGTTAGCTACTAAATGCTCCACTATGTTCATCTGCCCATCTCTAACTTTGTCTGCAGCATGATGCTGAGCAGGCAGCGTAAAGACGGCTTTTTTAGGGCTGATAAGTGAATCAAATCAGTTTCCTTCGGCATGAACAACTAAAACAATGAGCTCCGAGGCAAACTGCAGAGTCAGGTGATAATTCTCTGTGGGTTTATCACAACGACCGATCCATTTTCACTTACAAGTAGTCACCTAATCCTGGTTAATATTGAAATATTGGTTATAGCTGCTTTAATGTAACAGTAAGAACCCAACATGGAGCTTGTCTGGACCTTTTCATCGACAACAGAACACATACAGTGGATAGAAAAAGTCTACACACCCCTGTTAAAATGCCAGGTTCTTGTGGATGTAAAATAATGAGACAAAGATAAATCATGTGAGAACTTTTTCCACCTTTAATGTGACCTATAATGTGAACAATTCAATTGTAAAACAAATTGAAATCTTTGAGGGGGAAAAATAAAAAATAAAACCCCTCAAATAACCTGGTTGCATTTCTATCCACTGTAAATATAGCAGTTGTAGTAACAGTAGTACCTGCATTGCACTGCTACTACTGCCAGTGTTACTTGCAATTAGCATTAGTGGTAATAACAATAGCAGTGTTTGTACTAGTAGTGGTAACAGTAGTAACAGTAGTACCAGAAATCATAAACTGGTTTATGGCCAAGTAGATTTTCACATTCAAGGAATGTGACTTGGTGTTGTGATGCCTAAACTACTGTACAAGTCAAGAGTCATAAATATATAATAGAATATAATAGAAAATATGTAAAATATGTATAGCCATCCAGTGTTTAAAATTAATGAAGAGGATGCAACATATTGATTGAAGAATGAGCAAATGTTTACAGTATAAAGACGCAAATAAAAAATAAAAACCTAGATTTGCAACAATGTTCGGTAATGTAACGCATCAAGTTGGATGTTGAGACTTTACTTTAATGTAATATGTAGTGTTTATGTGGCAGGTATGAGTAATCAGTATTCATATTAGCAGTATCAGCGTCAGTATTAGTACCTGCATGCTGTCCGGCTGTATGAAGATGTAGTCCAGGCAGCCGTGAAATCCTCCCACGTAGTTTGTGTAGGCCGGCTGGCTGCAGGCGCTCAACAGCGGGGGGAAGGCAGAGACCAGCTCCATACTGCAGGACTCCTCTGGCCCCGAGCTGCTCCAGTCTGCATGCTGCAGAGGAACCACAGCCTCACTGAGCAGCTTGAACACACCTGCACACAGGAAGAGAAGATCAGCAATGACGCCACACAGCTCGCATCAAAACAGGAAATGTACTTTTAAAGATCAAAAGTCCTATGAACACTGTTAAATTACAAAAAGTGAACGCTGGCAGAGACTAGGCTACTGGGGCCTTGCCTTTTGGTGTAGAGTTACCTGAGTTAGGGATGGAGTTAAAATCACCACTAAAGATCAGAGGGGCTCCAGGTGCAACTTCGCTGATCACATGACTCAGGTGTTGCAGAGCCACGCCCATCTGGACCAAGCGAACGTTCCCTCCTTCAAAAAGGAAATTAATTCTGTTTTTAGGAATGCATACATTATGGATACAGATCATCACTCTGCTCTCTTACATCAGTGACTCAGGTGTGTTCATACAGAGGAAAGGGTTGTTCTACCTTTCGGGTGCCAGTACAGGTGAGTGTTGGCCACACAGACCTTCCTGCCTGGTTTATTCAGGTCCTCAAGCACACTGACCTGCAGAGAAAGAAGACAAGTGTCAGAACACAGATTCACAAAGCTGACCCATGAAGAGGGGGTTTGCTTCCAAATGATTCTTAGTAAATACAGCAGGTGAACAGCAGTACCTGCAGGGCGGTGGACCTCTGCAGTATCTTGTCCCTCAGAGCGCCGTTTGCAGAAACCCTCTCCAACAGCTCAGAATGGATGGGGTCAGAGGTCAATGCCTCGCTCAGCACGATGTCATGACGGCTCAGCAGCTGAAACTTTGACCTGAAAAGACATTTTCATCTGACTTAATCCTGGATTTTACATCGTACTGTAGTTACAAGTTTCTGTCACAGACAAGAAAGGAGTCTGACTGCAGCATGGGTGGGTGTTTCTGTGGGGGCGGGGCCAGTCTGATGGCTTTTTTATCCTACTTCCACGTGTTGGTGTCAGCTTCCTGAATTAAAAGGCTGGACTTAGACTAGTAAATTAGCTGGTTCTCTATGTCTTGTGTAGTTGCACTGGCTGTGGTTCAGGAGATAGAGCGGGATGCTCGTTAATCGGAAGGTCGGCGGTTCAATCCCCGGCTCCTGTCGAAGTGTCCTTGGGCAAGATACTGAACCCAGAATTGCCTCTGGTGGCTGTTCCACCAGTGTATGAATGTTAGTTTCTGTTTGAGCTCAGTGAATGAATGTGTGTGAATGCCAATGTAGTGTAAAAGTGGTCGAAAAGACTCGAAAGGCGCTATACAAATACGGAGCAGTTACATTTGATGTTTGGCTGTATCAACAAAGTTGTACACTCCCTAGTTTTTGATAAAAAGTAATGCAAGAACAAATGTACACGTTCAGCTGTTCTTATTTACGAACTGCACTTGTACACCGCGGTAGAAACTGCAGGGGCGCCAAATTGCAAAAATGTATGAAATGCTTTAATATCCACTATTTTGCTATTAATTATTTTTTTATTTAAAGAAAGGAGTAAATGTTGCCACCGCTTGTTGACATATTGGCTTGGGTATCAATACATTTTAAATGATAGCCAGTTTTATCCTACGACATAAAGGCCCATGTGTGTCATTTGTTAATTTGGCAGCAAGGGAACGTCACTCGTGTGCCCTAAGAAAGACGACTTGATCAAATCCTGAGTGCCCAGAACAAGAACACCCAACTGTGGCCGCACCAGACAACACTAAAAACACACAGACAACAATTTTCTCCAGATTCTGGATGCCTGCAGACCTGACCTGCGGTAGAAAGTGGCCAGTCCTTCATGCTGCTTCTCTTTGATCCTAAAAACGCCATCCAGACCAAAAGCATCCAGAGCTGGAGTCAGACTGTCCATGAACACCCCTAAAGAGTCCAGAGAACATGAAGTACGTCTGTCAGACTCACATATCCACCAGATGATGGTACTTTGCATAAAGGTAGAGACCCTAACGTTTTAAGCATAGATTCTCACAAGCTAATTACAATTACAACTGAAAGCAATTAAAAGGCATGTTATATAATTAGATGTCAGCCAACTGATCTCTTCAAATTGAATAAGAGATTTAAGATAAAACACCACAAAGACACAATTTATACATGTATTGTTACTAAGAGGATCTTGTAGTGTAATTGTTAAAAGTTAAACTGCTAAAGTATGACCTTTTGAGCTCTTGAGTTTTGTTAAGTGAAAGCATTTTCTCTTAACTACCAATAACCTTAAGAGCTTTGAATTTCTGCCCACATCTCAGATTTTTTCAGAGATTCCGTCTGTTTATATGTTGATTGATTCCTGGTTGGAGAAATGATCAACCAACCAGAGCTTTGTCGGATTAATGTATAACAATATGATCTTCCAGGATACAGCAACAGAAACATTTCCACCAAAATGTTGACAGGTGATGGTAAAATGTTTGTATCTGTACAGAATCTGTGTTTACATTAAAGCACTTTAATGCGCTGTATAAATAAAGTTGAGTTGAGGTTCCTGTAAGACGACTTAGAGACATAACTCTTAAATCAACATATTTATTTGATTAACATAAACAACTGTTGCCACAGCTTCTGTGTTGACTGAAAATTACGTTGGCAAATAACAAATCCAGCCAAAATGAAAACAGTTTTAAAAATTGTTAAGTAATTTCAGCACTACTTACCTTTGTCGACCTCCTGCAGGCAGATGATGTCGGCGTTGTACCCAGCCAGCTCCTTCTTGATCAGGTTCTGTCTGTAGTCCAGCTGCAGGGCGTAGGGGGCGCAATACGGGTAAAGCACCGTCTTGGACAGTTCTGTCTGGGCGTAGACATCAGCGAGGATGTTGTACGACACCACCCTCACAGCCGGCCACTCCGCCTCTTTGATAGTGTACGCGTGTCTGTTGTCGAACGTGCACACGCCTGGGCCGGCCTCTACGGCTCCCACAGAGACCAGCTCCTTGGCCGGGCCACTGCGTCTTCCATCTTTAGGTATGCAGCGCAGTTTGAGCCTACAGCCGATGTCCTGATTGGACGGGACGTGGACTCTCCCACAGCCTATTTCTGTCCAACCGCCGTCCTGACCCGGAACTGCTTCAGCAGCTTCAGAGCTACAACAAAAAAGAGAAAAATAAGGACCAAGGTGCTGCATGTCCCATAACGTCTTTAACTGATTTATATTAAATCTGAGATTAATTTATTCGGCCCAGCTCTGGTGACACTTTCTACAGTCCATCATTTCATCACTCTGATTTGTCTCATTGTCAAACTGACAAAATGTATGACAGAGTAGACACGACCTTGGATTATAGCCTGGCTGATGCTGGATGTCTGAGGCACATACCCTCATTAATACTGAGTTTAAAATGGTGATGATGATGATGATGATGTATGAGCCAGTATTTATATATTTAAAAAAAAAACAAGTATGTTTTCTAAATGTGACCAAAATGTGTGCTCAGCAGGACATTTTACAATGTAAAGATAAACTCAGTGCTCTTTGGTGAACAAACTATGCATGGAGAACCTGCTTTTAGTTTACCTCAAATGTCTTTTATGTACCTCTTGTTACTTACGAGCCAACATATACACCAATAAATAAACTTTTATTTGATAATCTCGGCTTTTCAGAACTATCAGTCAGGTGCTTCCTCTTCTGTCTGTTCTGTTCGACTCGCCATCAAAAGATATTAAATTATCAGTGATATCAAACTATCAAATATTTCTTTGGCATTTGTGTACTGCTGTTTCTTGTTACTTACATACATGGTGTGTGTGATAAACTAAACATTTATTGGCTTGTTTATCGGCTGTGTTCTGATTAAAAACTTACAAAGATTAAAACGAAATTAAGAAAAATGATTCACTGTCAAACCCCTAAGTGGGAGTGAGTAACAATGTTTTGTTTTATACATGAAGGCAGCAGATTATTAGAAAACCCTGTCATTATATTGCAGATTACAGACTCTGGACATGGAGTTCTCAAACTTTTTCTTGTCAAGGACCCCATCATAAGATTTTTTCCTAGGATCACCCATCTGATGTTTTGCTTTCAGGTGGTTTATTACATAAGTGTATGAAACCCATGACCAAAATAATCATACATTCTGTCATTGTGCTCCTTAAGGACAGAACTATAGTGAAAAAAACTGATCTAGGATTTAACACACTGTCACACTGCAAGTTTCATTCTGTAAATATATCTACTGTTTCAGTGTTATTACCTTGTGTCTGGGGCATTTTCTTTATACCACGTGAACTCGCAGTCTTGGAGGTTCCCAAACTCCACCTCCAGATTGGGACAGACGGGGAATCCGGCCAGCAGGGACACCGGGAGCTCAGCGGTGGTGAAGGTGGGCGCGTTCCTCTGCACCGAGTATTTAACGTCCCCCACCTGCAGCACGGCTCCGTCCTGCCACGCCTCAGAGTTCAGCACCGTGTCGGCCACCTCGTCCCCTCCGTAGTACAGCTTCACCACGGCGGGTTCCGCGGTGCTTTCACACGCTCCCTTGTTCTTCTTCGACTTCTTCGCCTTCCCTTGGCTCTTGGTGATGCTGTTGGAGATCCGGGCCAGGACCTTTCCCAGAGCCTCGTCCTGGTCCCGCAGCATTTGCTTGTGGCTGCCGTCCAGAGAGAAGGAGATGGTGAGTTTGGGCTCCCCGGGGAGGCACCGCACCACGGCCGCATCCATCCTGCCGAGGAGGCGGCAGGCTCTGGTCAGAGTCCTCGGCCAGGAAGAGAGCAGGCGGCGGGGAAGCAGCGTAAGAGCAGCGGCGAGGTGGTTAAACATGAAGTCCCAGGCGGCAGCAAGAGGACGGCAGGGTTTGACTACACGGTCAACGGCAGGTGGGGGGGTCCCCGTCCTGAAGTCAGCTGGTTGTGATCTGTCCTACAGCTACACCGGTTAGCCAGGATGCTACACAGCAAAGCTAAACCGGAGAGAAAACTGGCACAATGGCGAGTTTTAATTCGGCCTCCAGTTCTCTGAGTCAAAACTTAATAGCACGCATGCTTCGCGAATAAACCCGATGCGTTAAACAACGTGTACTTTTTTTATTTTCACAAAAGTTGGTCCATTATCTGTCAGTACTTTCTCTGAAATCAGCATGTGCGTCTTCTTCTTGTGTACAATATGGTTCCTTCAACGCTTTTACACAACTTTACTGGCACCCAGCGGACAGAACTGGAGTTACACCAATCGTGTCTTATTCACATGGAGACCCAAACTATTCAATATTACATAATTTATTCCATGTATTTATATTTTTTTATGCTAAAGTTTTATTCTTTGTATTTCTATTATGTATTGATATTATTTATTGTATTTTGCCTTTCTTTTCACATTCCCCTGTGCTGCTTTGCCAATGTGAATTTCCTCTGTGGGGTATCAATAAAGTTATATCTTCTTATCTTATATACAATACAAATACAATTCTACAAGTCTAATTCTTATTTTACTTCTAAGTATTCTTTATTGCACACTAGCATTTTTGCACAGCCTCAAGAGTATGCGCATGTGATGAAATAAACTATTTGAGTTTTGATCAAAATAATTATTTGCATGAGTGGACTATATATATCCAATACATTTTAATGAAATTCATCCGGCTTGTTTGTACACTAAACAGGTTTATTTGATTATTGTTTTTATATTTTACTAAACAGACTTTGTAAAAAGCAAAATTTGAAATGAAACCAGGTGGAAAATTACCTACTACAAAGAGGGAAACGGAACAAAACAAAATATATTTTTTACCCATATTTTTATTAAATTTGTTATAAATACAAATAGGCCTACAGAAACTCACAAATAGGCAAATAAAAAAACTAGAAATATATATTTAAAAATCTGATCCTGAGCTGAAAGTATACCATCACACCAGAGGTTTGGTGCCAGTTGTTAGCATCAAATCAGCTGTGACTCTTTTTGAAGTGTCTAATTATCTCTCTACAGAATATTTTTCTCAGCAAAGTTTTCCACACAGCATTGTTCAGTGTTTTGGGGGAAGTAGACGTCGTCCTTGTGTTCGTCGTCATGCTCGATATGTTTCAGGTGGATGACCATGTGCAGGGCGTAGGCCAGGACCAGCAGCAGGATGAGGGAAGTGATGAGGCCCATCAGGATGGCCGGTGTCAGAAAGGTGGCGCAGTCAGTCGCAGGAGAAAATTTACCAGAGGTGATGTTGAACGCCTGAATCTGAGGAGGACATGAGAGACATAAAGAAGATAAAATTCATACTGTGATTCATAATGTGTGTAAAATTTAGCTTCATTGTTATTCATCCTCTTACACAGTGAAGTTCAAATCCAAACAAACAGTGAAACAAATAGTTTTGTTTTTTGAGTCAGGGTCAAGAAATATTCCATAAATATCCATTTTCATGTCAATAAATACATAAAACTACCCAAGCTTTGGTCAGTTTTACTTAAATATGACACAACAGATTATTTTGGTCACTTAGGGCCAGTGGCAATAAGACGTGAACACTTACATATCACCTTTTAAGTTGACACAGCAAACCTGTTAGTAAACAGTTTACTTATTTACGCTGAGTTACAGAGCAACATTATCATTTATTTATAGTCGTGTCTGTGTCCACCTGATGAATGTTAGTCCAATGTGCACTCTCTTTTAGCTCTCTTTTAGGTGTCTCCCAACTCCTGAGGGAAATATCTGTCTCTTTGGCTGCTAAACGCTGCACTATGTTCACCATGGCTCACCACTATGTTTGTGTAGTGTACTGTGGACTTTTAGAGCTTTTTCAGCTTTTTTACCTGAAACAGCTGCCCGCTTTAGCTGAAAACAACACGATGAGAACAAGAAGCTGAAAGAAGCTTTAAAGCTGTGCAGAACTGAGGCAAAATGCAGAATCCTTTTCTGCGGGTTTATCACTACAAGCAACCCCCTTTTTTTTTTGCTCATGTGCTTTTAGTTTTGGAACGGCTTACTATTGCTATGTCATGATTGGCTTTTCACTATTTGAGGGAGGGGTTTAGTTAAGGATCAATTTAAAGATGGATGAATTTAAAACTTATGCCTCTTTTAAACTTAAAGAAGTGGCTAACAGATAGTCAGCACAGTCAACATTAAATTTAGACACTTGCTGCTATCTTGTCTTTTCTATTCTGCCTGTTTGTGCTTCTTGAGCTATGCATATGAGGTTGTCTGGTTCATTAGTGTTTAGATAGGCTAAACTTCTGTTGTAATTTATTGTATTGGGCTAAATCTGTATGTATTATTTATAGCCTCATTCTTTTATCTTTTTAGAGTGACATATTACCACCAGTTCAGGGACAACAGATTGCCCTTGCTCGATAAACCTGAAATAAAAAATAAAAATAGATAGTTTCTCCAGATGTCATTGATCGAACTGCAGCTATGGTAAATCATATATTAGCTTTAAGATATCAATGAGTTAGCTGGGTAAATGGACAAGTACCTGGAAGTTGGTGAAGGTGATGGACCAGCGGTGGGCGTGGTCGGTGCTGGGCAGCAGCAGGGCGCTGTAGCGCTTCAGGCTACTTACATGGAGGCAGTGGTAGGAGGAGGAGGATGGAGCGTACACATCGCTGGCGTTGAACACAGCCTCCTCAGAGGTGTTGTACAGCAGAGAGACGTTGTCCACCGAGAACCACCACTGACCCGAAGACTCGTAGAAAGTGTTGGACAGCTGCAGCCTGACGCCAGAGGGACGAGAGGAGACCTTTACCTTTAATTGTTCAGGTGGTGCTAGCATGGCTGTAGACTTTTAAGCCTTAAAGGTACCATGTGCAGTTTTTAACCTTTACACATTCCTGCCAATGGTGTCACATTATTCCACTGACCTACACGAGGTGCTAATGCACCCAAAAATACAACACTGCACCTGAGAGGTCTGTGGGGCCTTTAATCTGTGCAATGCATCATATGCCATAAGTTGATCATACTGTATACTTTATGTGTAAAATCTAATCTAAATATAGCAATTAAGTAAAAGTAGAAAGTAAAAAGTACAATGTTTCTCTCAGAAATGTAGTAGAAGTATAGTATAAGCACCTCAAAATTGTAGTGTATTTCTTGAGTAAATGTACTTTACAAGAAAACTCCACAGATGGATCTGACTTGTCAGTGTGACCTTGAATATAACATCTGATCACACATTTAACTTGATTAACGTTATAAAGTTGCATTTTAGCACATGATTGGACAGATTGCATTATGACTGACCTGATGGACAGGCCTCTCAAATTTTCCACATCCCCAAACCTCATGACCAACCTGAAGACAGACAGACGGACAGAGGGTCAGAGTTTAGTGACAAAAGACTTGAGGTAATGTGATATTTTTGGATTTGGAATGACATAAGAAACAGCTGTTGGACTTTTTTCATCAACATCCTACCTCGGACATATCTCTGTGGATGTATTTACTAGACCTACAGTAATGGTCTCTAAATTGGACAATAGTCTTTTGGATTCTGTGTTTCAATTATTGGAATAACAATTTTATTTTTATAACAGCTTTTTATCTGCCTACATCTCCTACAGCTCTCTCAGACATATGAGAAGGAGGGATATCTGTTTGAGCTATGTTATGAGATGTTTCTCCAGAAAACAACTAAATCTAAATTATTTATGTTTTCTGATGCTTTTAAAGGACAGACAGGTAGACAGACTTTCCATTCAGACAGACAGGTGTACTAACGTGGCTTTGTCCTGTCGGCAGATGGACTGGCTGGTGTCGACAGGTATATGAGGAGAAAAGGCTCTCTCCGTCAGGTCCAGCTGCTTCTCCTTCTCATAGCGGACAGACAGCTTCCTGGCCTGGAACAGGAAGCAGGGCTCCCCATTGGACAACACCTGGTTGGGCAGAGACAACAGTATTACTGAACACCTGGGCCCCATTTCAGAAAGTGGGATTAGTTAAAATTATGAGTTTGTTAAGCCTGCTTTCTGAAACAGGACCCTGGGGTAGTTCATTCTCTAAACGTTTTGCACCTGTTTTACGTTTTTGGATTTAACGACATGTTTCCTCGAAACGGGCTTTGAGGTATGTTTTCTCGCAATTGGTGCTGGTGCCTATGTAAATACAGCTGTATTTAAAAGGCAGTAACGTGCAGTGCACTTGCGTACACAACAGTGAGTTCAAGTCACCACCGTTTCCGTGAAAGGTTCAGTCTGTAAATGCTGTGCATTGTTTTGCTATTGTTTCTATGACTACAGCATTATTGGACAACACCCTACAGGCGGAGACAACAACATTATTGGACAACAACATAATTGGACAACACAGAACAGGTGGAGACAACAACATATTTGGACAACACAGTACAGACAGAGACAACAACATTATTGGACACTTGCAGTGCAGGCGGAGACAACAACATTACTGGACAACACAGGAGAGGTGGAGACAACAGCATTATTGGACAACACCATACAGGCGGAGACAACAACATTACCGGACAACACTGTACAAGTGGAGACAACAACATTATTGGACAACAACATAATTGGATAACACAGAACAGGTGGAGACAACAACATTATTGGACAACAACATTACTGGACAACACAGTACAGACAGAGACAACAACATTATTGGACACTTGCAGTGCAGGCGGAGACAACAACATTACTGGACAACACAGGAGAGGTGGAGACAACAGCATTATTGGACAACACCATACAGAAGGAGACAACAACATTACCGGACAACACTGTACAAGTGGAGACAACAACATTATTGGACAACACCGTACAAGCGGAGACAACAACATTACCGGACAACACCGTACAAGTGGAGACAAGAACATTATTGGACACAGTGCAGTGCAGGCGGAGACAACAACATTATTGGACAACACCGTACAGGCGGAGACAACAACATTATTGGACAACACCGTACAAGCGGAGACAACAACATTACCGGACAACACCGTACAAGTGGAGACAACAACATTATTGGACAACACTGTACAAGTGGAGACAACAACATTATTGGACAACACCGTACAAGCGGAGACAACAACATTACCGGACAACACCGTACAAGTGGAGACAAGAACATTATTGGACAACACCGTACAAGCGGAGACAACAACATTATTGGACAACACCGTACAGGCGGAGACAACAACATTATTGGACAACACCGTACAGGCAGAGATAACAACATTATTGGACACTGTGCAGTGCAGACGGAGACAGCATTATCAGACAGCACCGTGCGAGCAAAAACACAATCTCTGGTGGTCAACTCAATCAATGGTGGGCGGAATGTGTTCCCTAAGATCCACAAAATAAAACTCCAGTATCAACTTTTCAGAGTCACAAATTGGCAAATAGGATGTGTGTTTTACTTTGTGTTATGAACATACTGCCGCCTATATCTAATAATCATGTGGTTATAATCAACTACAGCTACAGGCTACTATAATCCTAATGTTGGAACCACCAGCAACAATTCCAGTTATTTACAGAGGGGGAGGATATCTGTTAAAGCCACACTGTGAGGATTTGTGAAATCCTGTTGTTTTTTGTCGTGCCCAGAGTCAGATGAGAAGATGAATAATGGTTTAATATCTGTGTGTCCAGTACAAATAGGTGCAGGCAAGGACATGTTTAGCCCTTAGCCTAGCAGGGGAAACTGCCAGCGTAGTATCTTCAAAAGTGAAAAAATGCTCCTAGTACAAAACCACTACAATGAAATAATTGCCAATTCTAAACAATTATGACCATCAATCTTGTTTAGACAATAAAATTTAATAGTAAGGAGGTGTAGATAATGGAGGAAAACTTAATTTGATTGAAGATTATACACCAGATGGACAGAAATACTGTTTTGACTGTGTGTTATTTGTATGTATTACAGTAGCTGGTTAATTGTCTGGAGACAACAATGCTACCTTGAGGGGAGGGAACGGAAGTGCAGCTCCTGGCGTCTGAAGTAACTTCCTCCGTGACACATCTGGAGACTGGATAGGAAGCTGGAGACAAGAAGAAAATACTTATTTATCACGTGAAACACAATTTCATATGTAAATTCAATTCAGTGTGTCTCATTCACATAGAGGTATGATCACAATATGCAATATTAGGTTCACGAGAACTAGACGACAAGATCCTTAAACAGTGTTTTAAATATATTGTCAATGCTGAGATGTATGAGCGAGGGGTCTGGGGGAAATCCTCCAAGAAATTTTGATCTTTAAACACTTAATTTCCTGCCTTCTGGTGAAAGTTTCTGCACCATTTTATGGTGGAAATGTTTTTATTTATGTAAAAGGAAACAGAAAATTCAGGTAGCATGTGACATTTCACAATATATAAATATAACAGAATATGAGTCAGTGCAGCTCTCAGGCATTCTGTGCATTGAGTGTTTACTCAACAGTGAAACTAGACTTTCTTTCTCAATGTCAGTGCTGACGCTTGCTTACTTTAACTTAAGCCCAATTCTGAATGCAAGATTTGTGGTGCTGTATTTTTACCACCACTCTTCACCTGTAAGTAAAAAATCAGTACAGTGAGGTGAACGCTGCTGTTTTCTCCTCCACTCAGAGTTTACCTGCAATCGGTCGTCTGCAGGTACCAAACGGTCCTCTATCCACACCCCTCCATCGCTCTGTGCTATCCCTTTATCTGGAGAGAAAGTCAATAACCAAATGAGTTCTTTCATGAGATAGATAGATAGATAGATAGATGGATTGATGGCACTTACCATAGACTGGAGAGACAGCAGCACTGTAAATAGAAGTGACAGGAGGATCAATAAATAACTAAAATAATAATCATAATTTTTCGCCCACTTTTACTCTCACATAGGGTCCTCTGTTTTCATTTACACAATTCTCTCTTTTATTATATTTATTTTATTAATCAGTATTTTCTTTTAGTTTTTTTCTGTACATTCAGGTGACACAATAAATTATCTCGCTGCAGTCAGATAGCTCACATAGATTATTATCTGTCAGAAGAGCCTGATGGTGTTACAATTTGAAGTCAGTTTTTTTCAATGGCTAGATTTATTTTATAAATTATTCATTTGTACTCGTGCGGCTATTACACTACTTATAGTAGTCAGCAAATTTGAAGTCAAATTAAAAATCACAAAATCTTTTAATATCATCATTTTATAGTATGTGACAAGAAATATGGCTGAATCCAAAAAAAACAAACTATGTTCACATGCTGTTAGTCATTTAGTGGGCATTTACAACAGCAAAGGAGATGTTCTATTCAGATTAAAGATTGGTCTTTACTTTAAATTCTCATATGCTTAACTGTGAACTGCAACATGAAGCTACTAACACATGGAAAGTGGTGCACTGTTACACAAGCTATGGTATATTATACAAATAAACACTTAAAATAATATGGTGTGCTATGCACGATGAACCTGAAGGGTAGCAAAGAAAGTTCTCACCCACTTTGTCTTTAAATTAATAGTTAAATTACCATTAGTTAAATTAAAAAAACATAATGATTGTTGGTTTAGGATTAAAGGTTTAGTAACAAATGAATTAAGGGTTTAAACATTACCCTAAACAAATACAAAATACAAAAGGTAAGAAATAGTGAAGGGAGCATGAATGACCAGGAGATGGACCTATAAGGTCTCAAGTACCCAGAATGCATCTGTGCAGCCCGGTGACCCAGTCGTTCACCCTGTGGATTAGTGTTTAAGGTTACAGGGAGATTGATCAGTCTGGAACAGAGATATACTGTTGCCAGATGACCCACTCTTACCCCGATTACAGAGAGAAAGAATGGTCTGATGATTTAATGTTAGAATCAGTTTAACACCAAACAGCAGCTCTGATTACTTTTTATAATCACATGCAGCACATTCAGGTTTTATGTAAAGAATGCTGACGATGTTTCCATCACAGATCGAGAGAGGCAACAACAAGAACTGAGCTACATCCTGTAAACTGTGAAGCCATGAAAACTTATACTAAAACTTTAACACATAAAAACTCAGCTACTCTTTTTCATCAGAACAGGGATGGAAAAATAATAATTCGTGTGCAGGTTTTTGTAATAGGCTTTACTTCATTTTTGCTCACACATAAAATTAAATTACTTTTTGGTCACCATAGTCTGAGAAATGTACAGTTTGTTATAATGTCAGCAAGGGTCAATTCAGACTGTGTGCGTGAAGCTCAAACATTATGTGGCCCAATAACTGCTGCCTGTGCCCGTGTCCGTTTTTAAGCATGTGTGGCCTTTAACATGTGGTGTCTGCACATATGTTATACACCACAACCATA